AAGAATACCATTATTCGAGCCCTGCGGCTCGTTTTTATAATTGTTGACAACTGATAACTATATTTTATAACTATAACTATAACTATAACTATATTATAACTATAAAAACTATCGTTTTTATAGTTATCAGTTGTCAACAATTATAAAAACGAGCCGCAGGGCTCGAATAATGGTATCTCCTCTTCCCAAATTGTCCACTTTCTATTAGGTTGTTCGGAAAGTTCGTGCCGATTTTTGATAGGTGGCGTAAGGACAGGTCTGAATATATCAGAACGATTGAAATCAAACGACATGCATACATATCGTGAAAGACGGTACTTTCAAGCATATTTGGAAAAAAATTTGGTTACGATACGTTAATTTTTGTCAATTTTTTATACGCCTTCGAATATGAAAGAAAACAAAGTGCGCGGCCTCAGGTGTCTTTGATAACTCGACAAAAGTTGTTGGAGCTCGTTTGAGATGTTCTACCCCATCCATCATATTCACCAGACCTTGCGCCCTCTGATTTCCACCAATTTCGATCGTTACAAAATTCTCTTAACGGTAAAAAGCTTCAACTCTTTGGTCAAGCTAAAAAATCACGTAGAAAAGTTTTTCGCTGAGAAACCTGAGAGATTCTGAGAGGACGGAATTTTCAAGTTGCTTGAAAGATGGAAAATGGTTGTAGAAAAGAATGAAACCTACATATACATATATATAATATAATAAATGTATACTAAAATTTAAATCTCTTGCGCTTCAATTTTCCTTCAAAATCAGCATGAACTTTTCGGACAACCCAATACCTTATCGTTCCGACATATACATATAGAGCGCCTTGGCACTGATCAGCATAAGATACAACAAAAAGAATCTAATAAACATCTTTCTTTCAATTGTTGTTGTCAATCGAATTTGAAGTATTTTAACGTTTTATAAAGTTATTTTGAGATACAGATCTCTCGCGATGCGTACAATAAGACGCTAACGCGTGCGCAACGATATATCGTCGTTGGCACTTTTCGCCAGTGTACCAAACGACGATATATCGTCGTTTGGCACTAAAAGGGTTAAATGATATGGCTGCGAGGAGAACGCGTTCTAACGCGAGCGTTTCAACAAATCTTGCGTGGCATGAAAAGAAAATTGCAGCGGCGTGCGACGATAGGAACAAGTTCGTGGGGCGAATCGTGTGTCGCCGGGGTTACGAAACAATGTAATTTCTCTTTTCATCGGCCGGCGAACGAATCGACCGAGAAACACGACTATTATGCATTCTGGAGAAGAAAAGTCGAGGAATCGGCAGGTGCCTGCCGACACGCGGCGTTAATTGAATATTCCCCCGACGCGAGGCGACGCAACGCGACGAGTGGCAACCGACTTCGACTCGATACGAATAACAGTTAATACGTTTGATAAATTGCCGGTCTACGAGCTACGTGGAACGGTAGCCGGACCCGGGCCGACGCGCGACTGTGGCGCTCGTTCATTTTTAACGAAGAAATAACGAGTCCGTCGACGAGCATCGGGACGGCCGCACGGTCTTCTGCATTTTTCATCGCGCGGATGACGAGGAGTCGCATTTGCGGGTTCGATTACAGGAGGGTGAATCACGGAGCGCCGCACAGTGGAACGAAACATTTATTTTCTTGGACATCATCGGTCAAAATTTAGTGTCGTAATTTTGCACTACGACTTCATTGAATCATCGTTAAAAGACTGCGGATTTTATGCATTGATGGCAAAATTGGGCCGATTTGAAATAGCAGAAAGATTATAGTTATTGAAAAATCTCAATGTATTATTTGTAATCTATCGAAATGATTAAAGAATGAATAAACTTGTTACTTATTTTTTATATTTTCGTTTTGGATCGTTTAAAGACCGCGGATTTTATGCGTTCATGGCAAAATTGGATCGATTTGAAACAACAGAATGCTTAAAAGAATTAAAAGATGTCAGTGTACTATTTTTAATCTATCGAAATGATTAAAGAATTAATAGACTTGTTACTTATTTATATTTTTTATATTTTCGTTTTGGATCGTTTAAAAACCGCGGATTTTATGCATTTATGGCAAAATTGGGCCGATTTGAAATAGCAGAAAGATTATAGTTATTAACCGCGGATTTTATGCATTTATGGCAAAATTGGGCCGATTTGAAATAGCAGAAAGATTATAGTTATTGAAAAATCTCAATGTATTATTTGTAATCTATCGAAATGATTAAAGAATGAATAAACTTGTTACTTATTTTTTATATTTTCGTTTTGGATCGTTTAAAGACCGCGGATTTTATGCGTTCATGGCAAAATTGGATCGATTTGAAACAACAGAATGCTTAAAAGAATTAAAAGATGTCAATGTACTATTTTTAATCTATCGAAATGATTAAAGAATTAATAAACTTGTTACTTATTTATATTTTTTATATTTTCGTTTTGGATCGTTTAAAGACCGCGGATTTTATGCATTTATGGCAAAATTGGATCGATTTGAGACAACAGAATTCTTAAAAGAATTAAAAGATGTCAATGTACTATTTTTAATCTATCAAAATGATTGAAGAACGAATAAACTTGTTATTTAGTTCATATTTCCTGCAATTGGCGCAGACAATTTTTATTTTACATGAAAATCCGCGGTTTAATCGTTCATAAGTGTCGAAGTCCAATCCAAATGCATGCGAGTCTGGCTGTTACGAAACTTCCGAACTTTTTGGAAAGTTTCTCCGCTTTAAATAATTATTATAGGTTTATAAGTTCTCAAAATCCTCAAACATTTAATGTTTGTTTTTAAATTAATTAAAAATTCCCCGATTTAATTTAAATTCTATCGTTTAATAACTGCATAAAATGAAGATCATAATTCAACTAATCATTTAAAGTTTTGTTCAAAACCGCCCAAGGTACACAATTCCCAGATTCATTTATTTAATAGGAAGGTTTTAAGAAGGAAATCGAATATATATGTGTATAAGGTGTGCGTGTGTGTATATATGTATATTAGATTTATGTTATTAGTCGTAGCTATTAGCAGCTGATTTGTCTCCCTTTCTTCTTAGATTTCTTTGTGTTTTCTTATGCTACGATTGACTTAATAAAGATTTGACGAAGCGATAGTACAAAATTTCAATAACTGACCGACGATGTCCACGATAATAAGTGTTCCGTTGCACCGTGCGCCGATCGAAGAGACCGATTGTCCACGAATCGCTCCCCGCGCGATCCGCCGTAGCGAAAACGCTCGGAAACTCGCCGACTACTGGTCCTGCGGCTGTCCGACATCGTCGCGGTTGTAAAGTTGAAACGATCGGCAATAAGACCGGGAAATATACCAAGTTGGTGAGTCGGTATCCGGGGATTCGAGTTCTTTCGGCGGTTTTCTGCGAGCGCCGCGGGACGTAAAAAGTTGAGAAGAAATCGCTGATAGCCCGGAGCTCCGGGAGCTTTTAAGTCGGACGTGCCAGCTCAGCTGCCGCAAACGGTTCGCACTGTTCGGTCAGCGGAATCCGGTCCCCCGATTCCGCCGATTTTTCATAGCCCCGCGGATGATGTATGGCTGAACTTTCTTCGCGAGGGGAGAGTTGGGAATCTAATATCGTCTTCGGGGATTTTCTCCATTAAAATTCGTCGACTCCCGAAATCAGAGGACTTACATCGAAATCATTTTGAAGCGGCGTCCGATGGAAGCTCGGAGGATAAACGAAGACGCGAACGTCGCCGGGTTCGCGAAACTGGCAGCAATAATGATAAGCCGAGGCGGAAGCAGGAGTCGTTGACCGCTGTGGACCGTCCAAGGAATAATATTCAGGGCCACGGAGTCCAGGAAACGACATTTCGAGTTCGCGAAGCGTATTCGGCAGGAGTTTGCGGGTCGGAGATCACGGAGACGATCCGGTCGGTTTAATATTCCGGTCGGATCGCGGCGCGAACGACCGTCGGGAAAGGATCACTCCACTTTTCAAGTCCGGTTCGAAAGAAACTGTTGCCCGCAGAGTTCAGTGTCCGTGGCAGCAGGGGATCGCAACCGCGGCGACGAAGAAATCTGTCGACAGCGGCGAGCGAACGCGGCAGGCGTCGCCGACGCGGTTTTTTCGCATGCTGCGACACGAACGCTCTATTTTTCTACAAACCCCGCGGAAAAATGACGCAGTGACAATCACTGCTTCGGATCAAGAGTCGGGGCATAGTTTATTCCGCGTTTTATGCATCGCGACAAAATATGGCACGCGAACAACGTCGACGCGGCGATCGCCGCGTCAATTTTTCATCCGGACAAAAAATCGTGCGAGTCACGCGCGTAAGCGTCGGGACGTCGAAACGCAGACGGTATGCTAATCGACGACTCGGCTCCGCCATTGTGCCAACACCTGTTCGGTTTCGAATTTCGCGCGGCGAGGTGACGACGAAATGTTTCTACTCCGCTGTCACCGACGGACAAGGGTGTGCCAGCGTCGTGGGGTTTGGCAACGTGCTGGCGTCGCCCGTGAGAGGGTCCGAGGAAGGGTCCGCGAACGTGTCTGCGAACGGTGGTTCTCCCTCACAAGTATTTTGCATGCGAGGCGAGTCGAGTCTAACAAGTTGCACCGGGACAGTCGGGGAATCCTGACTAGACCGAAACCCGGCCGGCCGACTAAGCCGTAGAAACGAATTTTCGTTTCGAAAATCACGAGAGCCTTCGACCTATCTTCGCTAATCTTGCTCCGACAGGACCAGGGAACGCTTCGAGAGGACCCGACACTTGCCCAAATTCCAAGAAGGACGTCGTTGTCTAACAATGGTGAGACGATCTCGGAAGGCGGAGCCGGTAGCGAGAGACGCAGAAGAGTGTCTGCGGAGGATGAAAGGAAATATTCAAAGTTCCTCGAACGTCGCAGCGGGCTGCGACGGCGACAATGAAATACCTGAGAGACGAGGCACGTCTCGGGAGTCGGCCGAAGGCGAGAGAGAATTTCGCCGGCGACAATGGACGGGAACGGGCCGGCCCGGACCTCGGGAACTATTCGGTGCTCACCTTGTTTCCATACCAGGCACCGCGGCGAGGTCCCCGCGCTGCAGACTACAGCCGTACGGCGAAGGAAACCTGGCGGATGCGGCGAACGAGGCAGGGTGCCGTCGCTGGGTCCCCGATTGCTGGAAGTGTCGTCGGCGTCGTTGTCGATGGTGCTGGTAGTGATGGTGCTGCCGGTGCTGGTGGTGCTGAAGGGGTACCTGGACCCTGTGAACCGCGTTCGGCACGCGCCAGCAGAGAACATACGGGATCCCGAAGTCGGGCTTCAGCTGCACCAGTGGCAGCAACCGGTACTCGACCCCACGTGGATGAAGGGACACCGATCGGCAGTTATCCTCGGTCGACCCGTGCACGGACAGGAGACGACCCTCTCCGCGGAGGACGTTGTAGTCGCGCCAGCAAAGGTCACGGGGTAACATGTCACGAGGACATCCCTGCCAACCACGAACTACCGGCTCCCGATGCGTCTCGTCATCTCGCCGGCGCCCAGGAGCCAAGCTCGCTCGAGGCCCTCGCTGGGACCCTCGGCGCGGCGGGCCTCTTCGGATCACTCGCGAACGACGACCGAGGGCGACGAGAAGAGCCCGCGAACTAACCGCTCCGGGGCCACTCGCGTTCGTTTGTTCTTATCGGAGTGCTCGGCGCGAGAGCAACCGAGAGGAGGCTGCTCTCGATGGCAATCGATCAACGAGAGAACCACCGCCCGCCGCGAACCAAAAAGCCGCACTCGGTGCTCCTGTTCAAGCAGTCCTTTCTTCCTTCCGGCTCTGTCGGCGGCACTCGGGGCGCACGGATCAGGGAAGAACCGGGCCGGTTGGGCGCGGATTCGCCTGGTCCGCGGCGAAGGAGGACCTTCGGCCGGCGTGGAACACCATCACGACCGCCGCGAGCTTAGGAATTTCCGCGGATCCAGCCAGCTCGTAGACCCTCGCGGCAGACACTCCCTGTTCGCGGTGCGCGACACTGCGACCTTAGGATCGACTTGCTCGGCCAGCGGTGCCGAGCGGGCGAGAGCGAGCCAACCAACGAACCCAACGAACGAACGGACGTGGAACGAAAGCCGGGAGAGGAAGGAACGCACAGCCCCCGAGGAGGATCCGCGGCGCGGCTCGGCGCGGCTCGACGCGCCACGAATTTCAAACTGGGCTGCGCGCGCGCACCTCGCGCCGCATCTGCCTCTCCCGTGTCTCTCCTCTCTCGCGTGCCGCGGGGAAGGCGAGGCTGCGCGCAAAAAGAAACGCCGGACAACGGCCACCGAGAGAACCGTCTCCGTCGGCGACCCGTCCGCTCGTTAACCCGCGCCCGGTCAAATGACGTGGCAAATGCACTTTTTCTCGGTGGCGCGACAACCACCTCGCCGTTCCTCGCCGCTTCTCTCCGCGATACTCGCCGCGATTAACAATCTAACGGACCGGCCTGTTTTTCATCGCGCCGGCCGATCGGAAGCTGCCAGCGAGATCGGAGACGCGCGTCGTCCGCATTTTCGACGCGACGCATCGCGACGATCGGTTACCAGTGGGATCCCGAGTGTGTTCCTCGTGCTCCGCCGATTTTCGGTGGTTTCTTGTGCTGGATGTTCGTCCTTTCGAACGTCGAAAGATGGAAGGACTGTGCTCGCGGCGCGCGGAACGCCGAGGCAAGGACATTTGGATGGTAGAACGGTTTTCCAACGCGATAGGGATCGTGTTAGGCCAGAAATGTGAAGCAACGGCCCCAGAAGTGAGGCCAATTTAAAGTTTCCTTGGGCCGCGGTGTTCGCAGCCGCTCTCGGTTACAGTCCATTTAGCAACGTCTAAATGTCAGAGCGGAGAGAGATCGCGACGGCCCGCTAATATCTTCGGCTATCGGCGCCGGCTGAAAACCCCGGGTCTCCGGTCATCCTCGTGACTGCGGTAATTGCGGCAGCCGGGGGATCTCGTCGGGTCTCGTTCGCCTTTTTTTTCATCGTGCCGATGCTCTCCTCTTGCTCGAGAACTCCGGCGGACGACGGTGCTGCGATCGGCCGTGTAAAAGGAGCTCGCGTCGATTGCTTTTCCTCGCGGGCTTCCACTCGGCGACAGGCCGATGAGTTCCGCGATAATTCTCAATCGACCGCTGCCGATACGCGTTCGGGCGTGTCGATTCGCGGCAGCCGGGACCCGCTAATGAGCGCGAACCGGCCGCGGAATTTCAATCGGCGGTCGATCCCGCGTTATCTCGACTCGGGACTCGACTCGGGACTCGACCCGACAACACTCGACTCGACTCGACTCGACTCGGGACACACGACACGCTGCCGCACCTGTCGCGCGGAAATTTCGCCGGAGGGTCGCAGGGAAAGGGCGGACGGTCGCGTGGGTCGTTTACACCTGCCCTCTCTTCGCCGGCAGCCCCGCGCCCTGCGCTGCTAGCACAGGTGCTGCGGCCGATGCCGTCACGAATCGCTGGCCATCGTGACTAGTTTATTGCGCAGCGATTTACGAGCTTGTCTACGGACTTGCGACGATCACCCGACGACGGAGGACGTCACTCGTTGCCCGCAACGTTTAGGAGAAAATCATCGGAACCTTTGTCGAAAGTCGAGTCGAGACCGCAGCCCTCGGTACTGTTTATCGAAGTTGATTTATGGAACAGCCGTGCATAATGTCCCGGCAGGTTGTTCGCGAATCGACTATCGCTCTTATAAACTCGCGATAAAAATAAATCGAACGAATGCAACACGAATGCATCGGGGATACCAACTTTGGCCGGGATTGTGCAATTTTTCTCGACCGGGTGTCGGATTCTCCAACTAGGTATGTCGGCGGATCTCCGAATTACATCGACGTCCCTGTAATTTATGAGATCGGATGAATAAGGAGCCCACGGGGACCACGAAAGGTCGAGCGACGAAGAAGGAGAGCTATCCCGAGGAGAGGATGCCTCGGAGCGACCTTCATCTTTCATCGATCGCGTCTCGTCCGTAGAGCATCGAGCACTCCCTTCTCTCTCTCTCTCTCTCTCTCTCTCTCTCTCTCTCTCTCTCTCCCCTCCCTCCGGTTTATTATTGACAGCGAAGTGCTCGTTGCTCGGGCGCGGCGCGTAATCACTTGTTACAACAAGATACTAATTGGTAACGAGCAACGATCGCGGCAACCGATAGCGAGCCCGAGATCGTCTCGATCTCGCGAGAACAGCCTCTGTCGGCGTGTCGCAAGCCGACCGGAGCCGAGAGCAGCGCGGGCAATTTTCAATTATTGCAGCCGTAAAGTCGAAGCAGCTCGGGGCGATCGTTAATTATCGGCCGGTGATTCTCGATAAATAAATTTCCGCCATAACTAGTCAACGCCACCGGTCACGCCTCCCGCGGTCGCTTGTTCTCCTCGGCGCTGTCGTGCTTGCCGACGTAATCGTCCATCAAGACAAAAACGGACACTTCCACTTTTTTAAGATCGCGTTCTCATGCTCGTAGCTACGATAATTCGATCAAATATAATCGACGGTTCGTCGCACTTTTCGCAGCGCGACGATCGACGCTCCCCGCTCGCCGTTCGAGAGCGATCGAGGCGGACGCTGACGAAACGCGATGATTTTCGAGACGGAAAAAAAGCAGTCGGCTAATAAAATAATCCGCGAGGATGGAACATCGTCGAACGACGCGCGGCGTTATCGACGAGCTTCGGGGAAAGAAAGGTACCCTTGGCTGATCAAAGCGGAACGTCTCTCCTTACGCGGGATTACTATTCCCCTAACAAGGTTCGACGGGTAGACAGGTATTTTTTTCCGCGAGAGGCAGAGACAGACTCGCGGTAAAATCGGAGATAAGCGGCGCATGGGTTCTTTAACGGGCCGTGAACGATAATCGCCGATAGACCGCGCGTTCCACCTTTAATTACGAACGGCTTAGCGGAGCGGTTCGTAGGGAAAATCGTTTCAAGGGGAGCGACGTGGCGCGGTGTGTGCATTGCGCGCGCGGAGTGCAGCCCCGCGGTGCAGCCGCGATGCCTTTGAGAGCCACTCGTTAAATATCGATACGTTAGATAACGCGGACGCAAAGCGATAGGATCAAACGCCCGGTTTCCATGCAGCGGCAGGAGCGGCGACGGCACACCGGGTTCGGAAACGTGCGCCAGAATTCTATGGCAACGCCGGTAATACGATAATGTTCCGCGCTCCTCCTCGCATAACCCACCACCGGGTACCCCATAGAATAGAGTGCCGAGCACGACCGTGCGCTGCCGTGCACGCTCGCGGGGAAGTTCTCGGTCGCGTTGCTCCCGCTCCCTCATCAATATTCAGCCGCATCGACGGACTCGTTCCGGTTTTCGCCTTCGAGCAACACGCCGAGATTTCTTTTCGACCGACGATCGCGGGTAATTAGCACGACGACGACGACGACGACGACACCGGCATGGCGGACCGGGCAACCCTCGCCCAAGGTCCTTCACCCTCGATCAGGCGCCTGCAACCGCGCGGCGCCTCCGCGACGAGACCACTTACGCGAAGAAGTTCGCGAGCCGCGAGTAGATTGGAAATAAGTAGACCAGCGGAGGGATTAAAGGTCCCAGTCCTTTCGGCCGGTTTCATCCCTAATCATAAAGCAACCGCCGTGGCAACAGCTTGGAGCTTCCGGGAAAGTATACGCCTCGCTATCAGCACCGGCAATTACTTGTGACTCAGCCCGATAAAACAGCTCTGCTCGAGGCAGCGGGCGCCCTCTTCTACCAGCTCCCCTCCCAAATTGCACGGAAAATTTCTGGTAATTCCCCGAGGTTGGGACGACGCGACAGAAGAAATTGCCGTCTCCGAACAGCTGCTGTCGTCCCGGAGAACCCGGCGACGCCGGTATCGGCCGAATAACAAACACTGGGGATGCAGAAATCTGCATGCTCCGCGTCGCACCGATACGTGATACCCCTACGAACAGGCTGCCGTTCTTGTCCGACACTGGAGAGCACGGGCCCGGACGCGGTAAAACCTCGCGCAAACACCGTGCACAAGCCCTCGGCGAATACGAAGCCGTTCTGGTCACCCTTGCACCGGGTTCCGAACTGGCTCGGAGAAGCAGCTTGCTGACTAACCGCGCTCCGGGATTGGGAACGCAACATGCAGCCGGGAAACCGAGCCGTTCCATTGAATTCGCCCTCTCCGTTTCGAAGAATGCACGTATTGGATCGAGAGATCAAATTTAACTTGATTTAATTTATTTATACAGGGTGTTCGGAAAATCGTAGTATAACTGGCAAGTAACAACCGTCATTCTACGTGCTAAAATAAATCGAGAAAGCGGAATAACATATTTTTATTGAAGGCTCCGCTTTTGAGAAAAATTAGGTTAAAAAAGTAATACTATTGAATAGGACTACCAATAATACTAATACTACTTCTCGTCATATTACAAGCCACATGAATTTGGCGCATCTTTCAACTCAGTTTTCTCGAAAACGGAGCCTTAAATAAAAAAATGTTATTCCTCTTTCTCGACTCATTTTTGCATGTAGGATCACCCCCTTGCCGGTTGCACCACGATTTTCCGAACACCCTGTATATATACGGGTATTATTATACTATACGCTACTTTTTTCAATACAGAACCAAGCGAATCGGCGGTTTAGGTGAACAGTTTATGTAAACTCGTCTTGAATTTGCCATCGTCGTCCACGATCGACCACGTTCTCACTGTTTCGCGCGACTCTCTCCAAATTTCTGGATGAACAAACGAGAATATCGTATAACCACGACAGAGTCTGACGATCAGATTACGAGCTCGACGCATCTAGAAGTTCGTCTAGCGAAAGTAGACTGCGTAGAGAAAGAGAGCCGCAGGCGCAAGGGACAACGCGAAACCGATGCGGCAAATTAGCAGAGTTTACGGAATGCGTGAACAAGGTTCGAGTAATAGACTGCCGACGATAATTGCCGTGTAGAGGAGAAATTGGTGAAATATGGTCGGCGGATCTTTTGTGCAGCGATTTCTGAGGACCGCGCGCGGAGGGGCGGCGGGATAAAAACGAAAGCGGAAGGAAGGGTTCGCGATAAATGGTGGAACGCGGAAAGTTTTGATCGGAGGGTGC